AACCATAATATCTTTCTATAATATATTTCGATAGCTCTTTATTCTGGCCAAAAAAATGCTTCAGTCCTTTTTTCTGTACAAAATTTAGAACATTGTCACTGTGCTTCTATGGGAATGGTTAAGGAGCCCAAAATTCTTTAAAGAAAATTTTGTTCCGTTTGTAAATTTTACAGCACAAATTTTTCTTTTTGCCTGAAAGACGGTTATTTTTTTTTAAATAAATTCTCTTCCCTTTTGTTTTTCATGACAGAATTTGAAACAAACAGTGAGTACATTTGATCTGGATGTAAATTTAATCATGAAATTTAGAAAACTCTCCAAATTAAAGGAGAAACTACAAGAGCTCCCACAAATGGTAGTAAAAGAAAGTGTGAAGAAAGGACTATGCATCAATTGGAAGAAGACAGAATGTATCTTTATTAAAAAGAACAACCGGGCGTGCAAATTAGAAATTAGAGGAGAGACCAAAATCAAACAAATGCAACAATTTAAATATCTAGTAAGTGTTTTAACAAAGGACAGAAAGTACCACATAGAAATACATTGGGTTCATTGGGACAGTGAAAGATGCCTTCCAAAATGTTGTGATGTAAACGAACACTCGTTTGACGCTTTTGTAATGCTCCTTCTATAATCGTAGATACAACTATAGTAACGCCGTTGAACAATACTGGTGTCAGACAGCTTTGAATATCCCTCACACTAATAGTACTTACTCGACAATATTCGCTGGAATAGTAGTCACCGTATTGATCCGAATAGAGAAATAGTATAATGAATAGAGAATAGTGGTCCGTATAGTATAGAGGATAGAGTAGAAATAGCGAACCGAATAGTACTAGAGGATAGACTAGAATGACGATCAATCGAAGTCACGTGACTTCCTATATGTGCGTTTTTCTTACGACCACGTGATCTGCTTAATTCAGTAATGGGATCGACTATGTTTGCTGACTGGCGATCTATGTTCAAACTCAGGTGTCGGCAGCGACAATTTATACTTATATAACACAAAAGTTAAACAAAGTATTAAGGAACGGGAAAATTTCGTTCGAAACAAGGAAAAGAATAATGAACTATTACCATCCTCTCAGATGAAGAAGAGATCTGAAGCATAAAAAAATGTGGTTCTACAGAAAAATGCTGAGAATTGCATACACCGAATTTGCGGGCAACGACGATGTTTCAGATAAAATGGAAACAAAAACGACACTTATACTTAACATCTGAAATAGACAAGTGAAATTGCTAGAACACATAATGAGAAAAGAGGACTTGGAAATTTTGATACACATGGGGCAGATTGAAGGCAAGAGGGAAAGAGGAAATCAAGGGATAACCTACCTAATGAACTTGAGTAAATGGTTTGCGGAAAGATAACAAAAAGAGAAAATTTATTAAGAGCTACAAAGGACAGTAAATTGTGGAGAGCCATGATCGCTAACGCCCTGAAGAGACACGGATACATAGAAGAAGTACCAGAAAACTCTTTTATATTCATAATATATATATATATATATATATATATATATATATATATATATATATATATATTAATTCAAAAAATATTTAAGACATTGATAAAATGTTGCTAGAGAAAATGTCCAGAAGAGGAATGGCTATGTACCCTCAGGTGTCTTAAGATATTGAGGGAACATCCGGATACAATGTGAATTCTGTATCTGTGCGTGCGTGCCTTCGTGTATGTGTGTGTGTGTGTGTGTGTGTGTTTAGTAGAAATTATCTCTTAAAGAAGCTCAAGTTGTTCTGCATTTGGCAAAATGGTATTTGATTAAAATGTCACGTATCGCGTTTAAAATGTCAGGGCGGAAAATAAAACAGACAAAAAGGTATTGACCAGATCTTCTTTTTTCTTCTTCTTTTTAATTTTTATTTATTTATTTATCTCTGACCGTCGTTCTCTTATTTGATGTGGGTGTATTGTGCAGGGGCGGAGTAATGTATAACTCTGAGTTTCGATGGTTTGCCTGCCTTTTTGTGTCTATAGGAATGTGTTTACATTTTCGATCAAATATCGTATTTTTAGTCACCACTTAGATTAATCTTTTTCAGAATAAAGGATTGATGTAATTATAAAGACATCATCAAATATATATCAAATTTTCATTAACGAAGAATTGTACGATGTGTATTTGGTTAATATTTCGACGTTTATTTGCATCATAGTCAGATATCCTCAGAAATATATATATATATATATATATATATATATATATATATATATATATATATATATATATATCCAAGTACAGGATTGGTGTGTACGGAATAAATTCCAAAAATACTATTCTTAAAATAGTGCTCGATACAGAGTAGAGTAAATATAATTTATTCGAAAATTATAACATAAATACGATCTTATTACATTTTTATGTTATAATTTTTGAATAAATTAAATATATATCTGTGTGTGTATGTGTGTGTGTGTGTGTGTGTGTGAGTGTGTGTGTGTGTGTTCGCGCGTCTCCTCAAAAATGGCAAGACAACAGAAAAATGAATATTACAACGAACATTATCTATGAGTTCAAATACCCCTTAAGGAACTGATCCTGATCAACCTGAATTCATAAATAATTACCTTAGTCACACGACTACATGCCTAGCCAGACGCCTTACATCTGACCAAAGCTCTATTAGAATCCATTTAAACACATACACAAACTTACCACACTCCATCGGAAACATACTAGTAGAAAACACAAGCATAATAACCTCATCCAAATGTATAAAAAAAGTTTAAAAATAATGGGAGCCTTAATAATAAAAAAGATAAAGCCAGCACCTTAATAATATTAAGTACGAACACGGCCACAATGCGCTGTGTTCACAAAATAAAACATCCCTACTCTAAAAACATACCCACAACCAATACACCCAATTAAAAAGAAAAATTAAAATTATCCTTGATAATGACGAAAAGTATAGCCGAAAGCGTTCAGAATTACAGAACATTTGAACAGTTTTTACACACTCTGTGTTCAAAAAAGAAAACACTCGTTCGAATACAAGAAAAATTAAATAAAAAGTTTAATTGTAGTACCTTGTCTGTCATCTTTAATGAAATACACACACACACACACACACACACATACACACACACACATATATATATATATATATATATATATATAAAAAGTGAACATTGAAATTAACACTTAGAGGTGATAGGCTTTTTATGCTAGATGCAATCCGACGTGGTCTGACGATTGCGTCTAGCATTAAACAGCCTGTCGCCTCTAAATGTTGACTTTATATTTACACACGCTCTACCTCGGATATTGAGTACTTTATCCCATAAATATAGCACACCTTAAGAGTATATTTCATCATTATATATATATATATATATATATATATATATATATATATATATATATATATATATCCTCAGAAATATATGATAGCAAATAAGAACAATCATGAGAAACCATAGGTCAAAAAGAGAGCCCCAAACTTATGATCGTTTCCAAGCATTCTTGTTTGCTAGGGCGTCCAGCTAATCCCTGTGGCAGACGCATGTTCAGACACATTTGTATTTGTTCAACATCCAAATATCCCTTTTATGTGATTTATGCCGCAAATACGCTACGCGCACTTTAATTATGATTTCGGCGAAAGTGCGTATAATCTGACAGGATTAACCTCCTGAACAAGGCCAGCACGATGACATCAGTTCTTACTAGCACAACCGTCAATGGTTTCTCATTAGTTCCGTTTACTTAATTCCACTCACAAACTAGGTTAAACCTGCCGCGGAAGAATGATAGCACAGAAATAATCCATATGTCAAAAAATAAATAAATTTCAATATTTAAAATATTATTATGGATTACTTATAATTGCATGCATGAGTTCTAGTATAAATAGTTATAAATCATTATTGACTGTATTTATCATTGTGATATTTTTGCATTATATCAAGCATTAAGAATATAATAATTTGGGTCTGCAAATTGTAGGAGAGAATTATCAATCATAATTTTCTGAATTCGAATCCGCGGTTATTTCCCTTTAACCCAATCTCTGTTTTTTGTTTGTTTTTGGGTTTTTTTCACGTAAAATTTAGTGATGCGCGAAAAAATTTTCATTTCTAAAATGCAATCCAAACAAAAAAAAAAAAAAGATTTTGAAACACAGCCCTAGGCCGATTACATGAAGAAGATACCATTTTGAAAAATCGACCCTGGTTTAATTCGAACTCGAGTCTCATGGTCACACGGCCATGTACTCATACGAATATATATATATATATATATATATATATATATATATATATATATATATATATATATATATATCAAAAAAAAAGAGAAATCACAAATGTTTTTGATTGTAATGTGAATTTCTTTTAAATATATATATATTACTTTATTTTCCATAATTTTGCTACACGGGTTTCCGGTCTCGCAACCTTCATCAGGCAAAGAGTGGATATTTCCTCATATTATTAAAAGGAATTAATTTTTCTTATGTTTTTCGATGTTAAACACTCTCGAAGTTAAACATTAGTTCGTATAGATGAAAAAAAGTTATTAAAACATTCGGAAAATGATGAGAGTTGTTCAAAAATCTTGATTAGCCAACGTGTCAATGATGTTTGTACAGGTATACAATATGAGAGCTTTTACAGGTGCCAATATGTCGATGGTTTTTTTTTAAGTGAGAAGGTCGTTACACAGGGACTCCCGTCATTATTCAAGGTCATTTTCCTCCAGCCACCAGTGGTACGATAAGACATCAGAACCAATAGATTTAATTACTTATTTCTTTATCTGCTTCCAAAGTTGTTCAAAAGCAGGTAGCGTTTACCATTGAATTGCCTTCGGGACTGCATCCACGACTTTGATTCCACGAAGTGTAGAAAGGCCAGCCTGTCCTGCTATTCACCCATAGCTGGGATGGGGAACTGGATTCCTGCCATTCCGTTGGGCGCGTAAGGCAGGCAGGCCGCCTACACACGTCGGTCGGTCTTCGTTTACCGTCGCCGGACGCGCGTCGCCCGCCTTAGAAGATAAGTGCCTAACTTTGTCGAAGTTGTTGGCCGGCCTTCGTTCGCGGTAGCCGGACGCCCGTAATGCGCCTTGGAAGGTAAGTGCGTAAGTCCGTCGAATATTAATGGGAAGAAGCCACCGCACTTGAAACTCGAGTTCAATTAGCTGGTTCAATTCTCCATTCCGATAGACGATTTGTCTATACGCACATGAGACACTAAAAGAGGAGGAAAACGAATCAATTTTTAAAGCTGACGAAATTCTTGCAATAGTTGTACAGAGGTTTACTGAAACTGATCAGGAATGGAAGTACAATTTTCATTGAAAGAAAATCTAGCGTAATGAGAAAGAAACAAAAATCTTTCGATAAAACGATAATAATTTTGTCCTTAAACATAATAAACTTTTCATACCATCAGATTATTACAACGACAGTACACCCACTTTTTGATTACCAATAATAACTATGAGAAGTTCAAATGCCATTATCTCAAGAACGCCCCCTACCCAATCCTTTTTATTTTTATATAATATATAGAATGTTTTAAATAATTCAATTCTTTTTGTTTTAAAATCATTTGATGGGTGGGTTTGGTTTATTTAGAATTTGATTGGATCAGATAGTGCGTAATATTTGGAAAATGTACTTAGAAGTGTTTTCTTCTAAATATATTCTTTTATATAATACTAATCTCAAATATCAAAATATCATCTAAATATGCCATGGCAAAACTCTCGCATCCTCCTAACACTATTGACATCAGCTGCTGGAAGATTCCCAGGGCATTAGCTAAATCGAATGGCATCACCCTGGCCTGAAACAGTCCCAGGTGACAGGCAAATGCGGCCTTTTCCTTGTCAGCCTCATCAAGGGCTACCTGCCAATACCCGGACCTCAAGTCCAACGTAGAGAAGTACTTTGCCTTCCCCAATAATGCCAATATGTCATCGATTAGTGGCAGTGGCACCGCCAAAGGCTTAGATATAGAATTCAGTTTCCTAAAATTTACACAAAAACGGTGCCCGCCATCTTTCTTGCCTACTATCACGATTGCAAAGCTCCAAGGGGAAATCGATCTTTCTATCATCCCAGCTTCCAACATCTCTTCTACTGCCTCTTCCACAAGGGGTCTCTTCGGTAGGGCTTCAATTTCACAGGGGAGTGATCGCCGGTGTCGATCTTCATTTTTACTGTGTGGGTCTGGCCTAATTCCTTATCTGATTTGGCCACCACATCTTGATTATCCCTCAGCAGACTTCTCACTCTGGCCCTAAATTGATCAGGTGCCAATATATCTTCGTCTACTATTCCTTCTGTTTGTTCTCCGAGTTTCTCTCGTTTCTCCTCGAATCTCACTCGATTCAGAGTTCGTAGGTGTAGTGCTTTTCCTATCTCTTCCCCTCTCTTAAACTTTATCGTCTTTTGGGCCTGGTTCACCATCATAATGGGCACTAATTCAGCTACCTCCACTACTGCCTCACACAGAGTTACCTCATTTTCTTCTAGGCCTTTCCCTTCTACAGGGACCAACTGCAGCGTTCCTTTTCCTATTTTCTTCCCTGTCATCAGCCTACCCTTTCCCGACACCGCCGTCCTGGGGTGTAGCTTTACATCTTCTTCCACCACTATTGTTATATCTTCTTCCGGTGGGTATCCCAATGGCGTTCTCTCGCCATTCACTACCAGCACATTGGGGTTGAACTCTATCCGAGCCCTCTGGCTCTGAAGCCAATTTTCTCCCAAGATTGCTTCCGTACACAGGTTGGGGGTTACGTAGAAGTTCTGGACACTTTTCCACTTTCCAATCCTCACAGGGAGCCTCGCCATCCCTTTTATCTCCGGGGTGGGGGGCTGCATCTGCCTGTGTGATCTCCATGTCCGCTTCCTGCAACCCATTCTTCCGTTTCACTCGCCTGTATGCTTCTACTCTCAACAATGAAACAGACGCTCCTGTGTCTATCAGGGCTTTCATTGCCCTACCCCCTATTTCTGCTCTACAGGATAGCTTCTTCTCTTGCGTCAGCGAAGAGAATACTTGGGCTTTCCTTTTCCTGGATTCCCACCTTTGGGTCATCCCAGCCATAGGTGCAAAATTCCTTTCATTCTTCTCATATGGGGGAGTTCTGCGTTTTCTGCACCTGGGCGGTCCCGGCTGGACCTCTCCCAGTCTCTTGCGGCTGTTCCTAAGAATACAATTCCTCTTCAGGTGCCCTGGTCTCCTACAAAACCAGCACCTTCTTGTCGGACAGTTTACCGCATGGTGGCCCACCTGACCACATATCCAACATTTTACTCTTCCTCTCTTCAACTGGGCCACCCTCTCCCTTATTCCTGGGGGGGGGGCTGCCCTCTACCTAAGTGGCTCTCCTGACCACATGTCCAACGTTTTACTTTCCTGTTTTTAACTGGGCCACCCTCTCCCTTATTCCTGGGGGGACCTGCCCTCTACCTAAGTGGCTCTCCTAACCACATGTCCAACGTTTTACTTCCTTTCTTTTTAATTGGGCCACCCTCCCTTTTAATTCTGGGGTGGCCCGCTGGCATTTCCCTGGTTTTGTCTTTTGGGCTCGGCCTTCCTTAACGATATCAGTGGGGCACCTTTTCTTAACCCGCACCACTTGGCTAGGTGTCCCTTCTTCCCACATCTAGTACATTTTTCCTGTTCGAAGTCTGGGGGCAAACCCCACTTCGTCGGACATTCCGCTGCTCTGTGGTCCTCATATCCACATGTCCTGCAGACCAGCCCGTATCGACCCGGTGTGGACTTATAGAAACCGTGCCTTGTTGACCAAGCCTTTCTTGTGGGATCTCCTTCCCACATCTCAGGCTCCCCCACCTCTAGCTTGACCTTCCAATTCCACGCCGGGGGGGGGGGTTCCATCCTTCCCCCTTTCTTCCGCCCTCTCCACCTAGCTCTTGCTTCTTCTTCCCACACCTTTTTACCTTCTCCCAAACGCCCTGGCTCTCTTTGGCCAGCGCCACTGCTGCCGATAACCTTAACGGTCCTTCCTTCAAAACATCGTGACGAACACGCTCATCACTGAGCGCTTCCACATACAGATCAGCCATCTGGCCCTGCATGACCGCATTATTTCTCACTACGTCTGGGAAAGCTAATGACGACAGCTTCTCCGCCCGGGCCCCCAATTCTCCAGGGGTTTCGTCCCTCAGCTGCGTCATCTTAAGGAGGGCTCTCATGGCCTCTATCGCCGTCCCCTCGTCAGCGAACTCCCGAGTTAATAATTCTTCCAACCTTTTCCATGTCAATTGGGGCTCACTGGCTAAGATTCCTTTTACGAACTCAGACGCTTTCCCTCTCGTGGCATCATACGCCAAATACAGGGTTTCCCGGTCTGAGAGTCTATATATTAGGCGGCTCTTATCCAAGATTGCCAGCCAATTCCTAAAATCCCTTTTACTACCGTCAAATGCTGGGACCCTCGGTCCACCCAACAATTTTTCAACACCCTCTTCCTCTATGTCTACCCTATCTGGCTCATAGTCAGACATATTTAACACAGCAAAAGAAAACAATCAGAGCAGCAACAATCGAAATTGGTAGATCAACCGAAAATAAAGTGTCCTACCTGACAGACGATTTCCAGTTCGTTCTTCTCAGTTGTCGGGTTGTCGTACTAGAGTATCTGGAACCGTATGGTTATAGTTAACCAAAGTCCTTTGGTTCCCACTCTAGTCTGTATCAATTTGAGTCCTTGAGACGCTGTGCGTTGTCCTGGTCGAAATTTTTCTGCAACTCCTGTGGCAGCGGCTGATCCAGGGTCTTATCCTGATGTCACGGCACCAATTGTGACGTCCCCCGGTGTCGCTGCGCCAAATGTGACGTTCTAATTATGTGACGTTGCTGATTCGGATGGGAATCTGGTTAGATTTGGTATCAGCCTTGTCGTTCCCAGCTCGCCTCCAACGTCTGGTTACCGAAGTAACTGTTTTGATCTCTAGTCTCAGCTACCCACGTTGTGATTTGATCTTAAGGTAGACGAAATCAATCAGTCGCCTGGCCGTAATGCAAGCTGAGACCGGACAAGGGGAACACCGCACAAGTATATGTAAAAGAAAATAAAGTAACAACTCGAAAAGTTCAAATGTGTTAAAAAAGGATAACAATATTTTATATCTGGTTGCTGAATACAGGACTGCTTCTTTCTCCCAACCCGCTATATGGATTCGTGACACTTTGAGTTTGTTAGGCGAGTCTTAACATCTTAAGTTGTTTGTTCTTTAAGAAACTGGTTCTTGGTGTCTCTTCAGGCGATAATCGTAAAACTTGTTTTGGTGGTGTGAGTCTAAGTCGTTCTTCAAAAATAAATTGTTCTTGGTTAGAAGTTGAGGTCGTGATTTGCGTGGAATCTTTGTCAGCTTTCTGCGAGGCGGGTGCAACTCCAACTGCGAACTTCACTACGAACTTCGAACAGCCAACTTACTCATTGCGACCCTGCTTATATGGACGCCGACCAAAACCGGGGTGGGCTTGTCGGGGTTTGAGGTTCCATGATAATTCTAAATCCACAATCCACTTCTTTGTTTTCGGTCAGGAAAATTTATTATTTTCCATTTTTGGAAGTCCTTCCAGATTCTTCCTTTTTCATATGGGTATCTCACCCAATCCCTTCAGGTGGCGTCAACAGGTTTCCCCTCTCTCTCACAGTGGCATCTCACACCGATCCCTTCAGGGGGCATTAACAGGCATCCCCTCCTTCTTCACATGATTACCTCCGCCTAACGCTCACGCCACCATTCAGCCAATGGGCGCTCAGCGGCGTGGGTGTGGCCGGACTAGTCTCGGTTTAAAAATTCTTGCTCAAGGAAAAAAAAATTATCTTCCTTTTTCCTTTTCTTTTCTTTCTTTTTCTTCTTCTCGACAACAACCCAATACGTGTGGTCTCTTAATCTCAATTTCATCCTGAATGTCACCTGAAATTTGTCACTCGGGACCTTCGCCAAACAAGTGGGTGGTCATCCGGCGATATCGCACCTTGGTGCCAATTATTCGTTCTGATAAAATAATTTTGCTATCATAGGCAGCTCCTGACAATAAACATGGCTTTTTCCAAACGACATCTCCGTAGATAGCTAATGGTTTAAACTTTCCTTCCTGGTATTCTGCGGGTGGTCCAACGGACATTTCGTTTTTCGGTCAGTGCGTGCTTAATTAATTTTTATCTCTCAGTTTCTTTTTCGTAGGCCACTCGACCAACCTGAAACTTTCATTATTGCCATACTCGGTGTGCCGTCATAAATCAAACGCGACAGATTCGCGACCTTACTTTCTTCGCTAATGAAAATAAAATATTTAGCACTTTTCTTTGTTTGAAAAATAACATCGCTTAGTGTCCTGTTCGTGATTGCTTCTTATCACCTAAATTTAATTCTCGTCTTTTCTTTTTTTTTCTTCTTTCTTACTAGCAACCCTAAATAGTGTCACACTTCTGCAATGAGAAAAAAAAATCTTCTATGAGAATATTTCAACAATGGCAAACCCGAAGCACTCAAGCTTAAAATACATTTTATCTATAGTTGAATGCATACAATTGCATTCAAAATATATTTAGTCGAAGCCATAGAATTGTGTTTAAATTATTTAGATTTCGGCATTAAATAACCCATAGTGGTGTTGATATGTCGCTAAAAAAAATCAACCAACAAACCAATGACAGTAGTCCATATAATATCCTACAATTTCTGAAAGTAATCAAACTGTATTCCAAAATATAATTTCAACATAAAACACCCATATCACAGTCTTTAGTAATTATGTTAATACAAACATATATATGCATAAAAGAGAAGTATCAACTACCATTTACTCAATTATGAAAGTAGAACATATGTCATTTCTATTACTTAAAATCTCCCAAGAAAATTAAATTTCGTCATTGAATGACCCATAAGGATCTTGATATACCGTTAAACAAATAAATATATCAATCAATCAAATCTATTGCATCATATAATATAAGTTCTGATGGCAATGCTGAAGCTCTTAGGTTATGAAATTTAAAATCTCATCTACCGAATATTCACCTAAACTATTTCCTCATCTTTATTAAGCCTTTTAAATTTTTTTTTATTATTCTGAAATATGAAAGCTAGCAAAAAAAAAAATATTTTTCATCACTCCAATAAAGCAGTATTTTTTTAAATAAAGAAAATGATTATTTATTTATCTATTAATTTCCTCTTTTTACTGTATTATTTATTATTTTCACTCATTACAATATATATTTTTATTTATTTCTTTTGGTCATTCTTTGTATAAACTTTAAATTAATTGGTATTCATCGTTTGTCTGTTACAAAAAATTGACCATATTGTATTTGCTATCTTCTTCATAAATCTCGCATGAATGATCGATCTTTGATTGACTCATTTATTTATTTACGCCTTAACATATTTTCTTGTTTTGAAGGAAGACAACATATTTTCAAATTTATGTGAGAGGAGTTTTGAATCTCAACGTTCCTTTTGGAGGATTTAGTTTCAATTATTCAACATTTAAACAATTACTTAAAAAATACACCAAATGTAATGAAAGTCTTTCCCTTTTTTCTTTTTTTTTTACAACTGACTAGAAGAAAAATAACACGAAAAGGAACATCCAGACGTCTCCATAATATTTTGAGACGTGTATATTTATTATAAACAAATGACATTCAGTCTTAACAAAGATTCCTCAATCAAGTCCAGATAGCTGTTTACTTCATTTCTTTCTTCTTTCTTAATATTAGATTTTATTTTATTTTTTGAATTTCGTATTTATAACTATTTTAGTTGCTTCCCGTTTTTCTTCTTTTTAAATAGTTTCATTCATTTTATTATAACTGAATATATAAAGCAAACTTTCACTAATATATTTGTTTTCAGTCTGTTGCCATAGTTTCTCGTACAAATGACAGTACACTTCTGCTGTGTACGTTTCACCTATCAATGACTATTATTGCAGCTTTCGTAGATTATTTACGGTCTCGAAATTTGTAAAGTTGGGAAGAATTCACGATGAAAGATTTACAGAAGTTCTGATACAAAAGAATAAAACATAAATTTCAAATTAAATAATTAAGATTTTATTATTCATTATGCGACAATTCATGCGAAAAATCGAAAATTCGTGTTACTGACTTTGAAATAATAAAACACTCTCAGGTTATAAATATTAATTTTTTTTTAATTAAGCAATTGAGCTCGTTTACCCAACAAACACCAATCAGGCGTCGTCAGGACTGAAAAATGACAAGACGCATGATCATATCAACATAAAGACTTTAAACAAAGACAATAGCCATATTAACATTTTAATGTTCATATTGATTTCTATTGATTTAATTACTAGGATATTGATCTTTGTTTAGAATAAACAGGCAAAATATCATCGTTAGATCTTGATACGAATATAGATAGAAAGACACTCGTCAATAATTTAGAGAATGAACAAGTTTATGGTTAATATTTTCTAGAATTATTTGGACTAATATCCTCGTTATTGTTGTTTTTATGCGAATAATGTTTTCACCATTCTTCAGTGATGAATCTTACCAAAGATATAACATATCGGCCGAGTTGCTGTGCTTAAACAACAATGATGATTTGTTTGGTTATTTTATTTTTCTTCGGGGCTAGATTATCTTATTTATTTAGTTTAAAGCATTGGCTTTGTATAAAGTTTGTTACATTCTCTGTGTTGTATATAGTACGATTTTTAAGTAACGTAGTAAACATTTCTTTTTCGTATGAAATAAACTGAAATAAGTTCTGATCGTTTATTTAGTAATTTGTGCCGGTTTGTAAAGGTTATTATAGCTTTGTTCTCCTTTTACAGTTTTTTTTTTAATTTTATTTATTGTAGGCTGATGCTGTTTTTTTCTTTATTTTCCATGATATTTTGGTGTAACTTATTTTTTGTTTTTAATTTCCTATATATGTTTAGAAAGCACTGTGCTGTCGTGTTTTTACTATTTGTAAATTCCAAGAACAGTACACAAATAATAAAAAGCTCAACACTAAAATAACTAACAAAACATAAGCACAAACCAAACTCCCTTTAACGGAAAATCAAAGAAGAGATCCCCCTTACAAAACAATGTAATATACAAAGCCACTGTAAAATCAGCAGGTGACGAAGAAAAAATATACGTATGTGTAAATGAAGGACCCTGAATACAGAAATTCCGAAACACTAAACATCCTTTACAAATAATGCTCCCTGACCAGCATATATAAATAGAAGAGTCAAAACACAACACACAAGGCCTGAAGATGTCGTTCAAGCATGAAACATAATGTCGTCACTTGATGGTAACTTCAGTGTCTACTTTTATATTTACATACGATTTTTCTCTGATGTTGACCACTTTTAGCCATACTTTAAAACTAGATTTTTATCATATATATATATATATATATATATATATATATATATATATATAAAGGGGGCACCTCGAAGCGGTGTAATGGTTAGCAAGCTTGTCTCACTAGAACAATTACAACTGAGTAGTAAGTTCGATCTTAACTGGGTGCTTCCTACTTTTGGCCTTGTGCCACATCTAAGCTACGCCTGGAAAATCGCTCTATGTGTGTGTATGAGAGAGAGAGAAATTATCAACAAAAATATATATGATAAGGGTTTATGAAGAGCGAAACTACTCTGATATCTGAGAATTTATACTTAAATGTTCACCGGAAAACAGAAAAATAATACGAAATATAGATAAAATAAACAAAAATTTCTTGGCAAAGAACTTTCGTTGATCTTTATCCAAACTTTTATAGCTTAACAATTGATACACAACTATATCTGATAGATAGATAGATAGATAGATAGATAGATAGATAGATAGATATTCTCGGTGTCATAGTCGAGAAGCCATACTGTATGAAATAGTGTAACGAGAGATTGCATAAATCGTCGCAAATTTCGATTAAATAAGTTAAACAATATCTTGTCACGTTAGGAATTAAGCTTTTTTTTATGTATTTGTTATATATCATTATAGATTTGATCTTAAGGGGGTTAATCAAGTATATTTTGTCATACATCCCTCAGTGACTAAAAGCTATAATTACAAAGAAACACTGCGAGCGTGCTTTTCTCAATGCATCTTTTGTATCTGTGACTGTATTTTAATAAAAGAAAAATTCTCTTTTTTAACGATACAGAAATATGACTGAAAGTTTATTTTGCTTTCTGCTATTTAATATGAAGTCGTTTTTACGTCATGAAGAATTCACATTTAGCTTATATCTACGAATTATATTAACTGGAAAGGAAATATCTGTTTATATCTTATTTAATCTTTTTTTCTTTCATTGTTGGTCAACAGGATTCTTTTCGTGTCACAAACATTTTGGTTTTACACTGGCTGCAACTATATTACCAAAAATATCACCCGAAAATACCATTGCTACAGTTTCTAGATAATTATACATGTTGTCGGTGAAGTAATGAATCTGTTTATTCATATACGGTTTTTTGATTCCGATATAGTTTGTCATTTATCTGTAAATGTATAAGTACTTTTATGATAGATATATTCATAGAAATAAGACAGAAATTCACAGAGAAAGTGAGGGGAGTGATATGAACACAGAAAGTAATTTTGGCGTGCGATAAAAATGGCCTCAAGGCGAAAATGTTTCTCGGGCGGAAAACTGTTGATTAATTGCAGTTTATATTTCTCACGTGTTGTCTGAAGTTGTTCTGGTTGAATTATTCGCGGGAAAAGGAATATTTCTTACTTTTACGTCTTTCTTAACTTTCACACATATTTAAATAATGTTTGTTTTGTTCATTTTCTTTGTAACTTTCTGTTTGTCTGCTCTCCTTCTCGCTTCTCTATTTCCCCGTCTGTTTCTCTCTCTCTCTTTTCTCTCACTTTTCTCTTCCTTTCTCTTCCTTTCTTTTCTCTCTCTCTTTCTCTTTTCTCTCTCTTTCTCTTTTCTCTCCTGTTTTTTCTCTCTCACTTTTCTTTATTTTCCCCTCTCTCTGTTTCACTCTCACTTTCTTCATTTTAGTCTATGTTAGCGATTTCTCAGTTTAATCTTCTGCAAGAAGAAATAGAAAAAATGCGAGTCGAAATAATGTGTTTGTTCCTATTCTAAAAGTGGAAATTATCGTCACAACACAACACAAAGCAACAGATATGGAACACCTACGGCGTTAAATCAGTTACCCATTTTCTACATGTTGTTTTCCGGTTTTTAATCTGGAATAACCAAGAGAAATTTTCAAGTTGTTGCGTGTTAGTTATACATTGGAAATCTAAAACGAGAGTTTTGATCACCATGAATGACCACACTTGATTTTTGCTTGAATCTTAATTAATAAAAACGAAGAGCTGGAAACAGAAAGTGTGTATGCATGTATGTATGTATGTATGTATGTATGTATGTGTGTGTGTGTGTGTGTGTGAGAGAGAGAGAGAGTTTGTCGTTGAGAGAGTGCGTGTGTGTGTGAGAGAGAAAGAGAGAGAAGGAGAGATGAGGATTGATATCTAAGCACGTAACATTTGATTCAAATACATCTTAACCTAATAAATTTATTTCTGTAATATCGATATATACCGGAAAGGGATATATTTGTTCGAAGTAGCAAAATGGTTGTTGCCTACTGTAACCGAGTAGGATAATCTAGCAGGTAACCGTAATGAACTGGTCCTCATCGTAGTGGTAGGCAATAGGCGTAGGCAATAGGCGAAGACAATGAGCGTAGCTAATAGGCGTCGTCCTGTACCTCCACATCAGTCTGTATTTATGGCTGACACCAACCAATCCTATTACTGTGAGAGAGAAACCAGGTGTATGCATATTCATTACATCAAATATGAATCCGTTTTTTTTTTCTTATCATTCAAGGATTGATCAAGCAAACAATCGACTATCGTAATTCTTTGACGAAATAGTGAAATTTAATTTTTTTCCTGGTAATGTGTTATTTGTGTTATTGTTTTTAGTGTTTCGTTTTTTTTTACACAAGTGGACTCAGATGATCGTTCAATAAAATGTCATTCCCTCAAATTAAATGTTAACCGCTTCTATTCATTCAAAAACAACAGTTCCATAGCTACCTCCCCAATATCAAATGCGTTATATAAATTTTATATATTGTATAGGAATTATATTATCAAAACACAAAGAAATCCGACGATATATTTAGATTTTTATTTTCAGGAACTTCTGATTGGATAACCCTGTTTTTCTTATAGTTGTCATGGACTTTAAAGTCATTTGATATTTTTGGACACCAATTACTATCTGCAGGCACATTAGGTCCTGAAAAAGGAAAGAAAATTGCAAATAGATTTAAGTTTGAAATTTGACCACGTTATTTTCATTCAACTTTCTTTAATATAATGAAAAACCAGGAACAAACTTATAGTTCTGACACTCATCGATTAAATTGGACACGCATCGATTAAATGAATATCTTCCTGGAGAATATTAGTGAAAAAAGAGATATAAGTATGCGGGCTAAGATTTGAAACCTTTATGCGCAATTTATTTTTCATGTTGATTATGGCACCGCGTCATTTAGAGATTCAGATATCACTTTAGAGAGAAAGAAATATTTTTTTTAGAATTTCGATCTTTCACTGATGAGAGTTTAAGTGTGAAAGACGGAATTCAAAGGGAAAGGAGGCATGCAATGGAATTTATTCAAACTTCAAATGCTTGTCTTTGTGGTTTAACAGCACAATATTATATCGCTATCAATATTATATCATTTCTTCAGATGATTTTGAAAGCAGCTCACATGCACCACAGATAAGATGAAATTTGAAAAGTGAGAGAAACTGAGATATATGGATATTTATTTAATTCAGCTGTGTCTAGCACGTCGATGAATAGGGAAAAGAAAGACTGCGTTACGACAGTGAAAATTCAAAATTATTTTTAAAAATACTGGGTATCGCTGATTGTAGTAAACTTTTCAAATTATGATTAGTAAGTTTTTACTTAACAATAAAACTTTATAGCTGCAAATAATAATATAATAATATTTAATGTAATATAATTTAATATAAATAAATATTTAATAGCGAATTTTAAGATTTAAAAGTTTATAAATTATTATAACTAAAATATTTTAAAAATCAATTCTTGTAAAAATTCTCTGTTCATCCAAAATATTATTTCTTAAAATAATAGTGCCTATAATATATCGTATTCAAAAAAACAATTAAAAGCTTGCCTAATAAAATAATGTCTGAATTTTATTACATTTTTTTTTATTTTACGATTTAGTGTGGCACCATGCATCCAGGCAGAGAAAGAAAGGCAAAAAGGGAAAAGAAAGAAAAGAAGAAAGGAAGGGAAAAAGTAATGCGAGACGGATCATAGGTGATATGCGAACACACACACATGGCTTGAGAGGCAATAAAAAAAAAGGGGTTATTTTGGATAAGTGGCAAATGGCGGAAGAGTGTCATTACAATGACAATGAGATTGAGTGGGTAGGAAGTGCTATCTAAGGATATGAAAACAAACTATTGGTACAAGAAGGCATCTTATTATCAAAACACAGACCACCGGCCAAGGGAAAAATTCAAGCGAAAATGATATTTCGATAAGTGACGACGAGAAACAGGCGACTAAAAAAGACTTTGGACAGATATGAAAATTAAAGGCCACCTGCGAGCAATCATTGACCGATTTTCCTACTTGGCCTTAGTATGGAATTGTGTTATCAAGAAATGTTCGCCAAAGAAAGTTCCACTTGAAAACGTTAGATTTTGATAATTGACAAAACACAGATGTAGCTACGGAGCCTTAGCTAGATATGGAAAATTAAAATCCCACACAAGCAGTCTCGCTAACTAAACTATTTTCGACAAAACAAACTTTTGCCCTGCGATAATTAAATTTTGTTATCAGACACATGAACCGAAGGAAAATGTATGGAAAAAGAAATTTTTTTATTTCTTCCTTGGAGACGTCAGACCGACTGAAAACTTGGAGAAAATTATTTTCTGAGGCCATGTCGGAAAACCAGCCATCTGATGAATTAGCGATAAACTGCTTGACAAACACCACGTGTTGAACAAAGAGTTGTCATATTATCCGTTCATGATAACGGCGATTTGAAAGGAAGAAAAAGAGGAAAGAGGAGAGATAATTAATTTTTTAGTTAAGCAAGGTATTTTTTTTTTCGAAACAAAGCCGCGGGTTGTTCACGCCCGACTAAGACGTCATTGATCAAGTGGTGATCACATGACGCACGAAGGAGGAGGAAAGATACCCGACCGAGACCTCATTGGCCGAGAGTGATCACGTGACGCACGAAGAAGGCTGTCGACGCCCCCATCCAGAGTATAAGTATGAGAAGCCGCTACGAAGAAGTGGGGAGGGCAGTTCACGCCCCTCAGAAGCATGGTGAGAAAGTGGGAGTGAAAAAAAAAAAAGTTACCAAAATGGAAAAGAGTGGAAAATCCCAACCAGAAATAAAAAGAGGTGGATATGTATTTAGAATTATCGAGGAACTCCCCGACGCCAACAGACCCAACCGGTTTTTGTCGGCGTCAATAAAAAGCCAGGCCCCAACAGGCAGAAATCAGTTCGACCCTGACGGCAGAGATGAGTGTCCAGTAGTTCGGACCCTGGCGGGCAGAAGAAAGTTCGGACCATGGCGGGCAGAAGAAAGTTCGAGCTCCAGTTTCCAGAGTTGAAGCCGCCTCAAGATAGCTGACCAAGATTCACGCAAAATTTTGGACTCCTCTTCAACCAAGAACAATTATTTTGAAGAGCGACTTAGGACCAGACCACCGAAATAAGTTTTTCGACTTTCGTCCAGAGACCGAAACATAAATTTCTTAGAGAGCAAACAACTTGAAGCGTTAAAACTCGCCTAGCGAAAACGACGTGTCACAATCCACAGAACGGGTCGGGAGATAGATGCAGTCCTAT